AAAAATCACCCAAAAGATCCAGATCCATTTGTTGTCCATTGTTATTTTAATTTATCTGAAGACATATTCCAGACAATGACATTGTTTTTAATACGTCTTTCGTTGTATTACAGGGTTCAGAAAATCTTCTGCCGTCACCAGCCAAGCCTGATCCTCGCCCCAAAACACCGCCCCCTACTCGACCAGCACCACCCAAAGTTGTTGTAGATCTCAGAGCTGCAGCTTCAAAAGAAAAGCCAACTCTTGAAAGCCTGCAGGCTGAGATCAGAGAGCTGAGGACGGCTCTGGAACTGCTGCAGACGCAACACTCGTGAGTAGCCAGGCTTTCTTTTACGACATGAAAAAAAAACTATATTTTTGTATTGAGGATGTCCGATAGTATCGGTCGGCCAATATTGGGAAATATCTAATTAGAAAATTATTAGATTAGATATAAAATTTTCAGTTTTTTTTGTGGAAAAACGTTCTGTTCAGAAAAGGGGAACTACATAGTAATGGTGACAAAGAAAAACCAATACAAAAAAATCAATAAATTGCCCAACTAAACCCAGTGGTATTTACATTAGTTTTCACCGACTAACCTCATGAGGCACAGTCACGTCTTCAGAGTTGTTCTTTTGTCTGTGCAGACACGACATGAAGGAAGTGAACGAGGAACTGCAGAAAGAGAGAAACAAGCGGCAGGCACTGCAGGTAATCAGATTACTCAAGTACGCAGGGGCGGAAGTAATCTGATTAAATAAAAGATTACATCTATAGTATTATACGTAAACAGTTTATGAAAGTAATCTGTTTCCTAATTTACATACTGTACACAGTTATATAGGTATCCTGATACTTATTGTATCAGAGTAATCTGATAAAAGATCTTGAGTATATTTGTAGTCAGATTGGTTGGTTATGGATTGCATATAAACATGTTTTTTTTATATATATTTCTCTCCAGGAAGAAGTAAACAGTTCCAGGATGAAACAGTAACGGGCATACAATGGATACATACACATGGTGGCGCTGCAGTCTTTTGACACTGCAGGTTTTAGGTTTTTTTTTTTTTTAGGGCAAACAGTTGATAGCTCCATTCCAACTGTAGTCTTTGGACAGAAGTAACTTTTTCTCTCTCCTCAAAGAATCATTTACAGCACA